GTTTTCTCTCCTCAAATCAAGTTTCTTCTTTCGATAAAACAGCTTTTATTAGATATGTCATAAGGCAGTTTTATTTCTTCTTTTTTTCATTTTTATACTGAGGACAGTATTATTCATTTCAATCATCACAATTAAGAAGTTTTGCTCTTACAGATGGAAGTGCTGTTTCAAAACATGTTTTAAAATGGCTCATCTCCTTTCATTGAAAGTTACTGCTATTCACAGAGACTTAACTGGTCTGTCAAAGTTCTCGTTTTAACTAGTTTGTGGAGTATTTTATTTAGACAGATCATAGCTCCTACTTCTGCTACTGTTTCAATTCGTTTTGATGTCACAAAATGTTTAAGTGATCGAGGATCACAATCATTCGAGATTCTTTTCTTGACCATGTTTCTTCTTTGAAGCTGATGTTTTCCCACTTTCCTTCTTTTTTTAAAATACACTTTGGACACTTATCTCGTTTTTGGTCATTTCTGCAATCTCCCTGGATGTTTTCTCTTCTTGATGAATGCCAGTTATTTGACCCTTCTTGAACAGACTAACATCTTGGATGTGTCGTTTGATAAGAATCTTTAAGAAATGAGAAGCTGCTCGTTGCATCAGTTGGGGTTTAATAAATTGTTTCTAACTGGAAGCGAGTCACCCTTGCAGTAATTATTTAACAGGAAGTTTTGACTCAGTTAAATCAATTATTATTAGTTTTATTATTATTTTGTTGGCTGTTTAGTGCATGTACTCTTTAAAAGAAAAAAAAGGCTATCTGGCCAGACGACAGCTCCTGTATATTCGTGGTGTAAACACTATTAAGATTTAAAACTTGGCTGATTCTTCTGCTTGGTTCCATTTTAGTTTACATAACCATTTTTAACACCAAAACCCTAAAATAAAACAAAAAAATTACAGAATAGTCCCACAGTGAACGTGCAGGTTTATGCAGTGAAAACCCTGTGATTAAATGTCACAAATATATTAACATCCTGCTGACCAATATTTGCATCTGTAAGCACACATACATTTAAACTTAAAAGGTTAGTTTTTTTTTTTTTTTTTTAAAGGTTTTGTTGGGTCTAGTGGGATTTATTTGAGAGTAGTCCAACAGGAAAGAGGGGGAAGACATCCGGAAAATGTCGCCAGGCTGGGAATTGGACCTGCAACCTCTGCCACAAGGACTAAGGCCTCCATACATGGGTCTTGATTTTGCCCCTGCACCACCACAGCACCCCATTGCTGTAAACTTTTAAGTTTAATAAGCATTTCTTCAAGGGTTCAGGATAAAAAAATAAATCCTGGATGTGTGCATCCATATACCTGTCAGCAGAATGTGAAGGTAGGGATCAAAGTGTCTCTTTTCATGAATTAGTTGCAAAGAAAGAATCTTTACAAGGAAAGGCTGTACAGAAGAGCTTTGTTACCGTGATCCTCATCTATTTTGACAAAAGCGTAACCCAAACATTTCTGCAAGACTCCAGAAATCATTGAGAGGTCGAGAAAAAGTGGCGTCAAGGTTGTCATTTATAATGTTTCATTGACACTTTATCGTCAATCAGAGAAATTGTTTAAATGGAGATTACTATTAGCTTTTTGACTGAATTTGATATATTTACTGTGGTGTTTCTGTTGACTGTGATTTCACATTCTTAAAAAAAGAAAAAAATGCTACTCCAAATCATCACACAGGCTTCCACTGCTGTTTTAAATCACAGTGAAGAAAATCAACTTATACAGAAGAGAAAAGAAGTGTTTCTCTGAGACTGTGCAGTC